CTCCGAACAACAGGCCAGGCTAGTGAACAACCTCGGCACCAATGCACGTTCGGCCACCAAGGTACTCATGGAGGCACTGATCGAGGGACGAGACATTTCTATGGTTGTGAAGTTGAGCGTCAGTTTCTACTCGACGTACCTCGTCGCACACTGCATAACAATTTGCTCCTTTGCATCATAGTTGTTGTCTGTCTGTTGTCGTTCTCCTAATAAAACCACTTTGAAAATATAGGGCCGCGAAACAGGAGACAATGGGTTGGGCAGGGGAAGGGCGAATAGGAACAGGAAGGTGCTGCGTGACAGCACCCACGGTATCACCGAGCCTGCAATTTGTCTTCTTGCTCGGAGAGGCGGCAATCAACCCATCTCGCGGACACTTACCTACGCGACTGGAAGCGTGCTGAAGGATTTCCGTGGTAGTACCATCAAGAATTCCGTCGCCCACACCGAACACGCACTCACACCGTCGCAGCTACGGAAGTCGCCTACACACTCAAGAGACAGGGCAGTCACGCCAAATCGATGCTCATCTCCGAGATGGTGACAAAAGAAAAAAATGCCTCTTTCTACACCTCTTTGCGCAACGGTTGGGAACAACACTTGGCGACGTAACAATTTAGTGTCGATGGCCAACTGGAGTTTACTGCGTTCCTTTTTGCAGTGAAACGAGCTTCCTTCGACCTCTTTGAGATGCATAGAAAGGAAAATAAAGACGAAAAATTAAAAGGCAATTGAATCCCACTGTACCCAGGGTTTGGGGCTAACTGTGAGGCTTTGGGGTCAGACTTGTTCATCGTCTGTTTCTCCCTTTTAAGAATATGGGATTCAAGTATATTGCAAAGACTGTTATTTGATAACTTGGGATAATTGGTTGGATATATTTGCCGAGTTTTTGTGTATAGATGCAGAGTGTGCACCAAGTAGGTGGACAAGAATTAACATCGTAGCAACAGAGTCCTCTGTTGACTACAAGAAGGGGTGGGCTGAGCCGTGCACCTGGGTGTGCTACATGGTCCTAGCTGACAGTCTACGTCTATTCAACTCCCCAATCACGAAACATTTCTGCACTGGCATTAAAAGCTTGAAACTGGCATTAAAAGCTTGAAATACCGTTTTTGCAATTTTCCTTCCCGTCTAGGGAAGGGGAGGAAGTCTCTCTCTCTTTGAAGGCTGTTTCCCGTGGGTGCTCCAGGGCCCCTGCCAGTGTCGGTGACCGCTGAAGCCCTTCTCCCTATCGGCCATGCCTCGAGGCCTTATATAATTTGGAGCTAATTCGCCTGGTTCGATCCATTTCTAACTTTGTTTTACTATGTATATTCTCAACCGTATAACTTCGAGTGGCTGTTTCCTCAGCACATTGTAATGCTGAGCATTGGCATTGCATGGCGACACTGTCCTTCCTTCCGAGCAAAACTTCCTGCTTGGCCGCAGCGGCTGCCGAGAACCCTGGGGTTTTTCTCTGCATATTTGCACCTTCTTTCCTCACCTTTACTAGTTACAACTGCTGCTGCCTGTAGGCTTGCTTGCTTTTTCCATTCATGTGTGGTTTCGATTCAAGCCCCATTGAACAGAGATGGTCGCGGAGCCCTCCCATGCGGAGGAACCCGAGGGCCTCGTTGAGGAACAAGAGAGTCCTGCTTCTCCTACCACAACTGATAAATCCATTCGCATCGATGCACATGTGAAGGACG